CCAGATTCCATTGATTCCGGCATCATCAGAGACAAATCAGCTAAGGTTTGCAGAGCATCCAAGCATGAGCTTTCATCTGCGAGAAGAAGAATTGCAATATCAATACATCATTAAAAGACATATACAGCAACCCTCAATACATATAGCAGGTTGTAAACCTCAAGCTGCAGAAGTAAGGATATATAGTACATGGTACTAAAAATTTAAAAAAAAAAATGCAATTGCTGGAATTCAAAATTAAAATGGTTATTAAAGGTGCCTGTGCAATTAGGTGTGTCTATGCCCCTGATTGTCATATTAACAAATTGTATGCATAAATAATATACACAAATAATACGTAAATGTACAAAAATATGGTTGGATTCAGTGTTTGTCCTCTAGGTTCTAAAATCATATCTGAAATCAGCACAAATAATATGTGAATGTAAAACAATGTGACTGAATTGTACTTCAACAACCACTACTTCTCATAATTTTAAGAAACAAGCACTTGCATTCCTTTCCAGTTCCTGTATATGGCAGTGTCTCCTAACAAGTTAAGTTCGTTACAGACTTCAAACGGAAAAGGACAAGCAAAACTCCAAAACAAAGAAAAACCATATTCCAGAAGATAAAGATAACATCATGCCATTTATTTCAACTTTCAATTGCATGAAAAGAAAAAGAAGAAGAAAGTAACAATTAAATAGTCATCATTCTCCAAAGATATATGAAAGACCTTAGAACAGGAAAACAATATATAATGTGCATAAGCAAAATTACCTCCAAAATAAAGTTTCTTGCTCTCCTTCCTTTGACCTTGTGGAGAAGGTCGTTCCCCTTTTGTATTTGAAACTTCACTATCATCTATCGCCCTAGAACTTACATTAAGTCCTTCAGTGCCACTGCATGCTTCCCCGCCATCATCAAACTGATGATTCCCACTGTGTTTAACTTTCCCTCTCTTTTTATACAACTTGTTCCCCTTCGAAGGCATTTCTACTGTACCTACACCTTCTAACAAATCTCCGGCATCGTCTCCAGTTTCAGCGCCCCCACTTCCCAAACTACCTTCCAACCAGTCTTCATCCACTGAAGCACGACGAAGATTGGCACGAGCTTTCCCTGGTGGTGGATGCTATATTACATAAACAAAAGAGAATCAAATCATTCAGTTCAAAATCTCTATGAATAAGGCAACAAATGTAGGGCCAGAACAAGTGAAGCCATATTATGTACCATTCTTCCTGAGCTCTGGACAGAAGAAGATTTTATATGCACAGGTCTTCCGTATGGCGTTTGAGAAACTTGGGGAGAGCCTCCTCTTTGCGAAGCCTCAGTCAATAATGCTGCCACATGCGCAATATCATCATCATTGTCCCCCTCTGACTTCCGACCCTTTTTAATTGGAGAAACATAAGCTTCCCTATCATCTTTCTTATGCGGATACGAAATTGGGACTCGAGGTGTCCTCTTTCCAACTGCACGAGGCTGGTCACCTGATAAAAATTTGCGTCAAAAGAACAGAAGGCAAGCTTCAGATGATAATCATTTTTCTATTATGTACATCATCAGAAAAAAATATTCAAGACAGTTCCCATGATCATATACTGACACCAAACAAAAATATGAACTAGCACTGCACCAGGCTACATGCATGTAAACATTTTCCAATTGTTTTTAATTTCTGTGGATTCTCATGAGCGCTAAGAAAACATCTCCTTCCAAAGAATAAAAATAATTTACTACTACACTGAAATTTAGGTTTCAAACATGGAAAAGAAATTCTAAACAAATATGACTACATTAGTCAGAGTCAAAATCAATCAATCACTGAAACCATTTGAGCATCATTGGGTAGCAATAAAATTATCGCAGAAGACCTTCCAACCTATCAAAAGAAGCCCCAACCCTCACTCTCCCCCACCAAAATAAGGAAAAAAGTTCTTCCACCTTCTATGGTATCACATATTCAACAAACCAAACTTTTTATGTTATTTTTCTTATTCCCTATCAGGTTTAACTCTGCAATCAGCATATTAATCTTCAGCCTTGCAAAAGAAAAGGATATGAGGTAAAAGAACAATTAGTACAAAGATATAAATATAGTTGATTAAGCACCAGTATGATGTTCATCACATAAGGTATCATACCATCAAGCTTTCTCCTTTTTAGTAATGATAGGCATCCTTCAAGCGATGCACTTGGATGAGCGTGTAAAACATCTTTCGAGACACTGGGCTGATCTTTCCCAAGCTTGCGTTTCTGCGGCTTTCGAGAAAATCCTAAATCATCATTGCTCTCTCTTTCACTATCACTGCCTTCCTGTCAATTCAGAGGTACGAAATTGGGTTACAAAGAGAACCCTGATGAGTAGAAATATTCAAGTTCATACTAATATAGCACATACAAGACTACATAATGTGAAAAAGGAGAGCTTTAACGACACTCATTGTTTCATGTGCACTGTGACATTGCCAGTAAACTTAAGAGCCCATGAAGTGCATCAAATCATATCAACAGTAACCCTAACAGGTAGTAGTTTTGGAAATTGGAATATCATCTTCAAGTATAAACCCAACATTTCCAAATAATGTATAAAATCCAAAACCAGGGGACAAACTTGAAAGAGTAATCCAATCTCACCATAACATTATAGTGATCTGTCATCATCGCTTTAAGGCCAACTACAGAAGCTGTTCCCTCTGGCAATGACAAATACGCCTGAAATCAGAAGCATAAACAATTCATATTGTCAGAAATGGTAAAAGACCACCTTATAATGAAAGTTTAATAACAAGGTTGAGGTAGTATCATGGACCACACGTACTCGGTTCATATTGTAAAGAGCCTCCACCATCTCAATGCTTCTGTTGCGCACTGCAGCAGCCACCTAGAAATCCACAGAAATCAAATATCTAAAAGATAAGGGAGTAAATAAAACAGAAAGTGCATAAAAGAACAATTCATTTTAGTATAAACAACTATTAGTCAGACATTAAAGGACGCAAAATGAAATTTGCTTACAATATGATTCACCAAGTACAATGCGATTAGCCTAAAGCTGATATATGGCAATAGCACCAGCAATCAGCTTTAGTTGTCTACAAATTTCCAAAGGCAAACTGAATCAGGAAATCAAATATGAGCATACCTTCCGCCAATCTTTTCCATATTTTCTGTATGCATCATAAAAACGCTGAAGCTCTCCATTGCTCCACTGCAATCCCAACTTATCAGATAACTTTCTCTTCTATGAAAAAAATTTGAACAAAGAAAATATCAGTTGATTTATGTAATCAGTCTTCACAAGTGCTGAAATGAAAAATAAATAGGAGTTACCCGTTGCTTCTTTTTGTTTGACCCTCTGCCATATTTCTCCGGAGATGCCTCATTTACAGTTGCATACCGCTTTACACCTTTGGCTTTTCTTGTTGGGGCCATGGCAAAGTTCACGTATCTGAAGCACATAACACAAATCAGAGAACTGCATATGTGCCGCTGATTTAAAACATCTCCTACCCAGTGACACCAACTACAGTTCGACAACCAATACCCCAATCAAAAAAACTTAAACAGTATGTTTTCTCTTCAAGAACAAGCCAAAACAAAAACCTCTTTTCCCTAAAACAAATTCTCCGCCCAACTCAATATTCCAATAAGATCTATAGCCTCAAATAAGATCTATAGCATCAAACAACAAGGTACAACCACTTCAAAAAATTAAATTTTTTTTATCGTTGTTTTCTCATCGAAAACCAAACAGTCTGCGAAATTCAATTCAGCCTCAGCACAACGCGCACACCCGAATGAGCATCAAACAAGGTACAACCACTTCAAAAAACTAAAAATTTTCTTATGATTATTTCCTCATTGTAAACTAAATTTTCGAAAACCAAACTGTCCGCGAAATTCAAATTCAACCTCAGCACAACGCACACACCAAATTCGTTTTCGGAAAAACCCTCAATTGCCCAAAATCCCACCACACTTTGAGATCGACTCCCAAAATTCAAAAACCCACTCCACATGCAATCACTGACGCCGATTAAACTGGTTCAAAAGAACCGCTTCCCACAACCACTTCGAAAATCAGCAGAAACGAAACAAAAAAAAATTCAGAGCTATTTCTCAAAACATTAACTCCCAAAATTTCAAATTATTCCGAGCCGACAACCCTTTTTCAAAGCCCTAAAAGTTACAGATCGGAGGCACTTACTGGTCGTAGGGTTTATGCAGACCCGAATTGAACCATCAGGGAGATGGCAGCGGCAAGGGAGCTCTAGAGAGAGAAAGTGATTCGGAGGTGGAGAGAGAGAGAGGGACTTCTAGAGAGAGGCAGAGTGGGTATTTTAGAGAGAGAATGAGATAGAGAGGAGGCGTTGCCGCGAAACTTGAATATAAAGGTGAGAGGGCAGAGCCAATGAAAACCAATTTTCTTTTATTTTTTTGAATTTGTTTTCCATTGGATTTTTCACAGGAGATGAGGGTAAAGGAGGAGAGTACGGAGTTTGTATTTGTGGGGGTGATGGGATCCGTACACGTGGAGACGGTGAGGGATCTGGAAGGTTTGGGTCCGGTGTTGGTGTTGGGTTTCTGTACGACTGAGTACAGGGGATTGGATTTGAAAATATTCTGGACGCGTGGCTTATCAAATTTAGTGCAATTTAAAGGAAAATGATCCCCTTCGGATCCCCTTTCTGGGGATCTAAAGATTCATCAATCACAGCCGTTCATCTACATCGTACGGTTAAAAATTATTTAAAATTTAAAATTAAATATAAATAGTATCTAATAAAAATGTCTGCATGATATATGATAAACGGTCGTAATTGATGGATTTCCTGGATCCCGACAAAGAGGATCCGGGAGGATCATTTTCCCAATTTAAATATCAGGTAGATTCCTTTCTTATGGGCTTGGGCCAGGCTCAACTTATTGGATAACGGAGACAGTACTTTGCCCATTGTCACAGGTCTTGCAATGCGACTGGTTTTCTTCGGGTTCGGGTTGATTTGAGGCTCGCTTGAGATTGATTCTCCGTTTATGCGTGTCATCCTTACCCAGAGGCCACGGTAATCTTCTCTATGTTGTTCTAATTTTATCGGATGTCCCCGAAGGGACTGCTTGTGATTGATTCTAGAATGGCTAAAGTGTTTTATGATGAACGAAATATTTACCAATTATGTTTGACAGAAAAAACTTTGTATTTATACATACGAACCAATTCTCGTCAATTAAATCCAGAAGTTTTACATAAACGGCAAGCAAAACTTACAGTGGTAAGATGCACAAGTAACCATTAAAATTTACAAAATCGGAACCTAAAATCTGAAGAACTTGCATCGAAGTAAGCTTGATTCAGTATGTGAGACAAAGCTAGCTCAACCTGGAAGCCTGCTTGAGAAAAAGGACTAGTTACAAATTGCAACCGCGCGGATCCTGCATTGCAACGGAACTGAATTTCTGATATGATGAAACTTCCTTCTGATACATGGAGAAATTGAAACTGGTAAAAGAGTGGTGCATCTGATCCAGTACGTGCTGCCAGTAAACTGGAAACCGACCCGGTTCCAGCTTGGATCGCTGGCACTCCATTCCATCTGTATGAGCTGCAACTGTTTGCCTCATGAACCAACTATGAAGCATCAGCAAAGCGTACCAATCACTGCCATTCCTATCATGGAACATGGATCTATCTTTCAATAACGCGTCTGCTGTTTCTAAATTCTTCAGGGCCCCTGTCCTTGTCCCTCCCATATTCATTAACCCTTCCACGCTGCTGCTTTCCAAATCCTTCTCTCCTAGGTCCCTTAAATTTATGTACATTGTCCCCTCTGTTACTCATTCTTTGCCCATCAAAATCATTCCCCCGAAATCCTTTGTTATTACTGCAAGATCCTCATGCTGATCTATCAAAATCATCATTGAACGAGTTCCTCCCACGACCATTTCCAAATCCTTCTCTTTTAGGACTGTTGAAACTCCGAGTATCGTTACCTCTGTTACTCATTCTCATCCCATCAAAATCATTCCCTCGAAACCCTCTATTATTACCACGAGACCCTCGTGTTGCTCCATCAAAATCATCGTTGAAAGAGTTTCTCCTACCACCCTTCATTCCATTGGATTCAAATTGTGTCTCTCTGGTAAAGTTAGGGCCGCCACGGCCTTTGATATTGTTTTCTTTATTCCTTCTTGGCCTATTTTTATGAGATTGAAAACCATTGTCTGATTCTGAACCAGAAAGTGAATCATCTTCCATATCGAAATTTCCTCTCCTCTCAAAACCTTTTCTCTTAGAATCCAAATTATTTGATTTACCTCGCCTGGCGCCAAATTTTTGATCTAGATCATCATCCAACATCCCAAGCTCATCATCAGAACCGAAGCTTAATCTCTTGGATGGACCAGGTGTAGTTCTACCCCTACCTCTTGATCTAGAATCGGCAACATGACTAGATTTCCAGTTGGGATGGACTGAAAGCTCTTTGTCAAAATCTACATCAAGTTCATCATCATCCGAGACAGAATGCAGCCCTTTGACGTGTAGGCTTAGATGGCTTATTGTATGAAGATGACTTTGTTCTTCGACGACCTTGTAAGCTATTGTCAGAGTTTTCAATGTCTTCTGATTCGGACCCTTCAAACTCAGAAAAATCAATTGAAGCATCCTGTGCTGAAGTTTTATTTTGAGTGTCTAACTCATAATTGTCAATATCATCATCGAAATCATCAAACCCTCTCCCTGGCCTAATAGTATCAGCTTCGGAGTATTCTTCATTGTTGCCCCTTGGTACTCTGCTATCTTTACTCAAATTGTATTCACGGTGTCCAAAATCTTGTCCTTGAGCCTGGTTACCAAGAGAATTTTCATCCCTCACTGAAGAATCTGCATACTCAAAAGCAGCAACATCTGCTCCATCTGACTCATTGTCATCAAAATTAAAATTCCAGGCATTAGCGTCCCCATGAAGAACAGCTGTCTTCTCCATTCTTGTCCTAGGGCCACGCTGCACTTCTTGCACTTTGTTCTCCAGGTATTCATCCGGTGGTCGCTTGCAATCACAATGAAACCATGCCATATTTCTCCTATAATTTTAAGAAATTGCACCTGCCATATAACAAGACATAAGGAAATCAATAATCTCATAAACTAAAACTAAAATAATTATGTATTTGAGGATGAGAAATAAAAGATCACGGGAAAGCCAACAGCCGAAAAATGCCAGGTTTCGAAAAGATCACAGCCGAGTAATTAATTAAGATCAATTCAAATCTATTAAGAGCACTGCACATAAAATTTTAATAGTACTAGAATGATGTCTTACCCAGGGCACTCCCATTCTCCTGGAAGCAGTTGTCTCTTTGGACGTTTGGCATCACATTGGAGGCAGATGTTGTTCTTGGCAAAATTCATGAAATCGCACCTGATACCAACATTCAAGATCATGAGCATTGTAGAAATCACAACTTTCATTACAAATTTCCGAAAGCATATTAGCTAATTCAATTCAACCATGCTTCTTAACAAAAAAATTATCAATCAGCTAAGTTAATGGAAAGCCATTTATGGGATATAAACAACATAACTATTAACTATTCCTCAAAGAAAGTCCCATTATTCTGGTCCAAGGAACTTCTAATGATGCCTAAAAGCTTGGTATGTAAAATATTAGACCTGGCAGAGAAATTTTCCCCAAGGAAAGTGTCATATAAAACGTACATGTATTTTCCAAAAAACCACCACCAAAGTATTAATTGTACAAAACAAATAAATTTGGCCACGATCCAGAAGAAACATACTTCGAGCATAGCCAGTCCCCTTTTTTCATCTCAATGTCATCCCGTAGAACTCGTCTTCTTGGAGGGGGAGGAGGCTGCTTTACTTTTGGTGGTGGCTTTTTGATTACCGGAGGTGGAAGATTAGGATCTATTGGAACAGCACTCAGCTTGACAACCTGATGAAGCAACTTACGGACCACAGTCTTGACAGATTTTTGTTTCAGAAGTGACTTATTGACCAATGATCCATTAACAGGATCAAATCCATAAGTCAATAAAATACGCATTATATCAATAGTTTGTGCCTCGTCCTCTTTGTTAGTAATCATATATGCTATTTCACAAGAATTCCTTAAACTGCAGGAACTGCAAACCTGGCATATGAATGAATACTCATTAGTTGAAAATGATAATTAAGCAATCATATCTATGTGACCAATAAATATGAGGGTGAGGCCAAATAAAATACCTTTCTGATGTTACATTTTCCAATAAAGGGCATGGCACAATATCAACAAGTACGACGAGAAATTCTCAAACGATCTCTCATTACTTAATAGTCAATGGAAAGTCATTTGTAATATGCTAATAGCAACCAACCTATTTATTTACTCAGATCTCAAATGGTAAAGCCATACTTATGACATAAGAGGTTAGCCTCCAGAGTCAGATCTACGCAAATGATCTCAGCAGTTAGATGTAAGTTTTATAAGCTTGCAATACAAGGAATTATTTTAAGTAATACTCACATCTCCTTCATCAAGATGGGTATGCTTCCTTAATAGTTTTGATGAGAAAACCACCTTCTTGTCCGTACTCGGGCATCCAAAACCCACCAAAACTTGAATATCCTGTCTCGACAAGGACCTGAAATTACTCTACTGTCTCAGAACTTCTCAACCATACTTGCATTAAATGCACCATACGAAAACCAACACATGCTTAAGCAATAGCTACTTATACAGAAGAGAGCAAATTGAGCACTTATAGGATCATCCATCAATTAATCGAAAAGAAACAGACTTTTAATCATAACACTACTCCATTCACCCAAATTGTGCACTTTTATAAGCTTGCAGTCATGATTTGTTTTGCATACAACCAACTAAAACACCATTTTCTTTAGCATTACCTTATGATATCGAATCGGTCCTTCCCGAAATTAAGACATGCTGTGTGGACAGCCTTGAAATCCTTGAAATCAATACCTCGGGCATCTTCCTCCGCTGGAAAAACAGCTTCAGAGGGATCAAAGCCGATATCTTGGACCACTCTGTCCTCGTCCACGCTCCTGTGATCAAAGTAGGTCTGCTGCACCAGCCTCTCCATCAGTTCAATCCACTCCGGCCACGGGTGCACCACCTCCACCTCCTGCTTAGCCACCACCGGCTTCTCCACCCTCTCCCACCCGGTCAAAACCGATACAGAATCGACCAAATGAGCATCATATCCACTCTGATTGCCAACTCCCATCCCTAATTCCGGGTCAATTTGGGACTTTTTCGATTCACGCCAAGGTATGATTTTCTGGCGGGTCTGATCCTTCTCGGAGCGTTCTTTCTCGATGGCGTCGATTTGGTCGAAGACGAAGCTCAGGCGAGCGGAGAGGGAGGAGGGTTTTGGGTCCGCGGAGGAGATTGGGGTTGGGAGGTGGAGAAGGGTTTAAGGAGAGAGGAGAACCGGAGGGGGTTTTGGGTTTTGGGAACAGCGAGATAGGCGTTTGAGGAGGAGCAGGGAGTATGGAGTCTGTGCCATTCTTAGAGAGAGAGAGAGAGAGAGAGAGAGAGAGCTCAAATCCTTAAACTCTCCATGGATGACGAGAGGGAGGGAGGGCAAGGAGAGGACGAAGGTAAGCTTAAACCCTACAATGGGCTGTATTTTTGGACAACCTACAGTGGGCTTTTTTTGGAATAATAAAATTACTGATTTGGGCTTGATTTGTAATTAAGGTTAAAACTTGTATTTCGAGATTTGACGAGACGTTCAAAATATTAATTTTTTTGGATAAATTATATAAAATTATCTCAACTATTGATGTCACGACATTTTTATACCTTATCTTTTAAAATTGACAATGTCATACTTCGTCTTTAGAAATTGGTCCAATGCTATACCTTCCGTTAGCCTGGCCATTAATTTGTTAGTTAAGTGCTGAAGTTACTTGATCCAGACCCCACTTTCTATTAAAATAATTAAAAATATATTAAAAAAAAATCATTTAATATTTTTTAAATATTAAAATAATAAAGAAAAGTTAAAAAAAAAAAAACAAAACAAAACCTTTCATCCCTTTCCCCCTCCCTCCTTCCCCATCTACCTGCTGGAACCCAGAAAAAAGA